AGGAAGGAAGGAAGGAAGGAAGGAAGGAAGGAAGGAAGGAAGGAAGGAAGGAAGGAAGCCCTAAGAAAACTTAAGATGGAAGCAGAAGAAGCAGAAACAGGATTACCAAGTCCCCAGTTTGAGAAGCACTACAAAGCCGTGCAACAGGCAGTTCCGCAGGAGAGTGAGAAAGGGGAGCACAGGTCAGACTCTTGCACAAAAATAGGTGTTATAAGTAAAATATATGGGATTCAGTCACAGATGTGCACAAACACACATTCTCACACTTCCCAGGAATGCATCCTCACTAAAGCAGATGATGGATCCAGCACATACTATGGACTAAATAAAAATGAAATTTCTAATCTCTGGTAGTTTATTGTATCTTCCTTTCACCTTCCCCCAGTTTTGCTTCAGCTGCAAATTGTGGTTTACAGAATTCGTTTTTGTAAATTATTTGAAGCTGAGATCCTGAAGAAGCAGTCTAAAGAAGATCTAAGCTCTATGGGCCTCATCAGATATAAATATTGCTACACTCAAGTCTCAGCTGTATATGGAAGTTTGTTTCAACAGCTGATCTTCAAAACTCCATGCACCTTAGAAACACTGTTCTTACAACATCTTAGATGTCTCACATCCCAAAGGACTATAGTTCAATAATCCCATTTCTCTAAAAGCTACCCATAGAAAATACACAGAGGTTCTGCTCCAATCTGAGAGAATAAGAACCAGCTACATAACAGATATCTAAGTCAATAGTGAAAAACTGTTTAGAGGACAAGGGACATTGCTGTCTCTTTCCTGAACAAGTGCCTGTGTTTGGCTGCAACAACAAATCAAGATCACTTAACTAAACTTTTTCCTATTGTGGAACAAAAACAGGTTTTTGCCTCCACTAAACTGAAGAAAGGCTTGTATTATCTCATTCTGCAGGGAAATTCTTGTTATAGTATAGTCAAGAAGTAAACACTTCCAGTACTCATGAAAGGGGGATTACAGCATCAAACACCTACATGGGTAGATTGCAAAGTTAGTGGCCACACACTGCCCTGGGTATACCAAGGACATATGAAGCACATCACTCGGTGAACGCCTCAAAAAAAAAAAAAAAAAAAAATCCCAGGGAAAATGGTATACTAGAGTCCCCAGAATTTTTCACTTCCCTGTAGACTACAGCAAGAAAAACTCTCAAACTCACAAAACAAACTCACAATTTTCATTCTTCACTGCTGCAATTAGTACATAATTACACAATAAAATACTACTTTCTGTTTTACCCAAATCTTATACTGGATCAGATGTCACAATGAGTTTGGTGAAATTAATTTTGTGTTTACTCAAAGGGTTTTAAAAAATACTTTATTACCTGCTTAACTGCCACAACAGTGTGCTGAACAACACATGCCACACATTTTTTCAGAAGAATAATTTCAGGCTCAAACAGACAGCCTCTCAAAAAATTTGATTTTAGCACACCTTCAGTGGCCTTCAACAGACCAAAAATAACAAAACCACTCCTGGAACTCAGTGAGTAAGTTTTAACTAATACTGAAACAGACATCTAGCTTCTACTGTAGGCTTTTGCTCCACAGCCAAAATAACTAGTCAACTGTCCTACACCATAGCTGAAAAACAAATGGTTCAAGACTACAAATACAACTGTAAAACCTACCTCCTACACATAGACTTATCCCAAGATAATGTTTCAGACTAGTAATCAATGTAATTTGGAACACTGTCCTGTGCCTTCCCCCATAAAAAACTTTCTACAGAAAATAATAATATAAAGAAATAATCTGACAGTCATAGGCTGTTTGTATCTACCTAATATGCATATGTTTATGTTTGTATCTACCTAATATGCAATGTAAAAAAAACTAGGAAGATGAAATGCAACGCACTTCACAGTCAACAGACAATATAAAAGCATCCATCCTCACTACACATCCCAGAGGTAACTAAAAACACAATTTATGAATACCATCTGCTTCTACTGTCTCTTCAGCAATGTATTAGCAAAATACATAGATTTTAAAAATAGAGGAAAAAGTCTTACTCTGCTATATCAAGATATCCACAGGAAGCAGCTGCATGTAGAGGTATCCAGCCTTCATTATCTGGTTGATTAATATTTGCTCCATTTTCCACCAGAAATTTCACCATATCTACGTTATCATCTATACAAGCCTACAAAGAAAGAAAGAAAGAAAGAGTTAAGAAGTAAGTTAATATCAAAGCTGTTCTACAATCCTGTGCATCTTTAAGCAAAATCCTCAGGAGAAAAGGTAAGTATTTTCAGTTCTGATGAGGAGGTGGAGTTTCTTTGTTGTGGTCTGACAGCCAGACAGAAAGAATCTGAGAGATAAACAGCAAGTGTTTCACATTTATAAACTTCTAAAATTTAAACAGTTTAAAAAAGCCAAAAAAATATTATTTTCTCAGATAAATGCATTCTGGTTTTCTGAGAAGCCCTTTACAATCCTCACTGAAACCTTATTCTCCAGTACAAAGTGGTTCCTCAGGTCCTCACTTTATCCCAGGCCCAGCTCAGCCACTTGAGTGGATATTAAAATTGAATAAACAGCTACACCATGAAGTAGAAATGTGACTAAGAGCTAGGGAAGCACTTTGAAAACAATACCATAATGTTGTTTTTCCTGTAATGTAGATGAGACTACAGAGTATAAAGGGGTGCTACATAGTATTTCAAGATCCCTCTACTGTTTTCTACTGCAGTATCTTCAATACCACCATAAATCTTTCAACAGTCTATTAATCATTTCTGTTTATAAACTTACTTGAGTATCATTTTGGCAATTGCAAAAACATTATCATCTGCCTGCATCTCTTAAACAGCATTGCTCAGATTCAGAACTACTGCCATTCTCCAGACCTCCATCTTGACTGACTCCTACTTTGCCTTTCTTCTCTGTGTTCAAGTATTTTTCTCACAGGGTGCTCGGTAAGTTTTCTTTGCCAACTTCTATCCTGCTACCCTTAAAAGGGCAGAGCAACTGAGAGAAAAGTTCCTGTGCATTTCAGGGCAGCAAGAACTCCAAGCAGCTAGACCCCACAAGACTGGTATTAATTTTTTAGCTTAATAAATCAACAATACTACATAGCCACAAGGCTGAAATGAGAACCTCTGCTCCTGGGCTCCTAAATCCTACTAGGGAATTATGCCTCTAATGAAATGCAATTAAGGTATAAATTTTACTTTTCAGAATACTTCTGAAAAAAACCCCAAATTACATCATGTTTTACTATGGAAAGAAAACAACTTGGATATCCCTGGTTAAGCAACTGCACGTTCCAAGATGAATCCTGAAGCTTTCCTCCACTCAGCAATGCTGAGGCAACAGCTACACCATGAGGAGACTGTTGCTGCCCAGTGTAACCAGCCAAACAAAACCAGCCACAAATTATCCTTCTCTGACTCCATTTGCTTTAGTTAGGTACAGCTAGACTGCAACTAGACTGCAATACAATGCTTACATTATTTGGTTTTCAGTCAAAAACAAAACTCCATTCTTGAATTCTTGAAAACTGACTTGAAAACTTTATAGTCATATCCATCCCTAAAATCAGCAGTCCTTTTAATAAATTAGTTTCTTAACATACTCCAGGCAATAAACACTAAAAGTTTGTCAAGCATATTTGTCTTCAATTTCTCCCACTTATCAACAGTGTACAATGATTATACACTCATAATAAGCTCTGAAAGAAGAGAATCACTTCTTTTTGTAAGACATTTTATAACTTAAGGAAGTAATCAAATGCAAGACATAGTTAATCAGTTTAGGAGGAAAACAAATTCAAGAAGCTCAGATGTTTACATATAACAGAAACATCAACTATATACAGTCATACGTCCAGTTTTTCTGGATATTCAATTTGTCAAACTACTGGTATTTTATGTCTATAATATTATTCACCACCAAATTATAAGGAAAAATAAATTTATATCAGAAATATTTTTCAAATGTAGGTATTTAAATATTAAATATTAATATGCTGCATGCTTATTCTAAAGCTCCCTAAAATTCATCATTTGTGGAAAAAAAAAGCTATCTTCAAATTGATTAGCACTATTAACAAAAAAAAAAAAAACCAACAAACCAACACAAAGAAACAAAACCCCAACCATCTGGTTGAGACACAACCCAACACAGAACAATCCTTGCTTATTTTTCAAGTACACATGAGAAAACCTGGCAAGACATACTCATAAAAATGCTGTTGCTAAGTGAATCAAAAGCTTACATATGCAGCACATTAAAAGACATATGACTAAGTGCCTAAAAATATTTGACCAAATTTGGGCAGTTCATTGTGCCATACATGGCAAGAATCAGGAGAGCTTCAATACACTTACCAGGTATTAATCAGAGATTGCATATTCGTAACAACCAAAAATATTTTATTAAAACTCACCGTGGTCTTCAAAAAGGTAATACCTATCTCAAGTCTAATAAAACAAACTGCAATTGATTCTACTGCTGGAAAACACAAATCTACTGCATCATATGTCTCCATGTCCTTTTTTTCTTCTTAACAGAACTACAGGCAGGTGTTGGATAGATCCTATCACTCTCAGCACTTTCCACAGGAAAGGCACTTGTCACTATCATCAGGTACCTTAAGACAGAAAGCCAAGGAACAAATGTTATAAAAGAAATTTTATCTACACGTTTTTTTCATTTCTACTGCACTGCTCACTTCTAAATGCAGTATTTATCAAGTGTCAGAAGTGCCTCTGTTGTTAAAGACTGACATCTCAATCACAAAAGGAAAGCCTGTTGGAGCAGCATGATAAAGCAACAGCTTCTGAACAGATTGCTCTTCTAGATCCCAGCCTGCAAGTTATTACAAAGGAAAAGGCAATGCACATGAAGATGTAAATAACCAGAGTTCCACTGAGGCTGCAGTAACTCAGAAAGATAAATTCTCACAATTAATTCTGTCCCAGAATCTGAACAGAGGACACAGCTGCAGGTCCTCCTTTTCCACCTCTCTTACAGCCCTTTCAAGATTCATTTCAGTTCTTCACACTCATATGCCCCTAGCCCCAGTCTCTCCCGTCATGACCCACAGTTCCCACTCGAAGCATCAATTACCACTTAGTGAAATCACAGGTCATCTTAAAGTCCTTTCCAAGCACTTGCAAAACACACCTGTAGAGCACACACACTAGCCAGCTCCTAGGGCAAGAAGAACATGGGGGCTCACACACAAGATTCCCTTCATCCCATGAACTGGTTTCTCTCTCTTTCAACCCCAGCCTCACCAACTGGTAGAAAGGCATTTCCACATGAAGCACTCATCACCCTGCCAAATTTGATCTAAGTTAGCCAGTGGGCCTCAAACAGAACAACAGCTACCAGTGCAATCATATAAACCTTGTTTCCTTTGAAGACCAATTTAGAAACTAGGCTAATCAGTCATAAAGTCAAAGCAAAGTTGAGAATACAAAGTCTGGTTACCTTTTCTGATAAGAAAAAGGAAGTACACTCAAGTCCAGTAAAGAGAACCACTTTCTATTTGTACAACAACTTGAAACTTAGACTCCGAAGGCCAGCAAAAATCAACAGCGCCTGGCTCCCACACAGACCTGTCCTAGGTAGGTCTAGTTTGTGCTGGAAACAATATTTTAACCTTTTCCCATAAATACTCAAAAGGGGATAACCAGATACCATGCTGAACACGGGAGACTTTTAACTGTATTTGCCATGACTTTGTATTCCAGTGCAAGTAGCAGGTGATAAACGTGGCTCTTGATACTGCCCCATGTTAAGAACACAGGTGACAGGGAACTCTTAAGTTAGTCAGTAGCCTTAAAAGATATAGCTTTAAAAGAAGAATCAGAAGTGCTTGGTTCATTAGTGAGTAACCACCCAAAGAATTCAGCAGACAGCACTCTTCCCCAAAAGACAGGAAAAACAAGCCTGTAATTATTTTTTAAAAGTCAGAAATCTTGTAGGGAAAGAAGCAATGAATCTGTATACACATGAAGCAGAGCCATACACCATGCACCTTACATGGGGCTACAAATTTTACTGATTTTCATTAACATCTAATGAAGTAACACCATGTACTGTTTAGAAATTAGTTTTGGTAAAATTCATCTCCATTCTCCACAAAAAGATTAAAACCTACCCTTTTACTGATTAGATTAGTATTCTGATCTATTCCATAAATTATTTTGTATGTATTAGGAAAACAAACATGTATTTCACCTCTGCCATCACATTTCATTTTTTCCTTATTTACTCTTGGTACAGAAAAGAGCCAAAAATATGAACACAGGAGAATATATTAAAGGGATAAAACAAGTCAAACAGTCATTCTGAATTGCCATGTGAATACCAGAAACAGGAGGAAGACCTCACACAGTGAGGGTCTAGAATAGTTTATCCCCCTTTTCAATTTTTCGAGTGAAGTACTTCCAGTGGATTCAACAGGACTTAGCAGAACATGAACATCTTTGCTAATGTACCCGAGAATCAAATTAAAGCAGTAGAGCTGGTTTAAAGTGGTTCCCATTCTCTTCACCTTGGGTTGCCTAGTCCCTCTGCCATCACATACCCACACTCCCTCCCTTACAGCTATGCTGACACATTGTGCTAAATTGAATCTAAACTGGATCAGAAAGGCAATTCTAATTTAAAATGAAAAAAAATTAAGAAAGGAAAATATCTTTATCAGATTAAAGCAGAATTATTTGCTTTGGTTATATTAAAATGGGTTTTGTGTTCAGAGAAGTAGCATTGTTCTGAAATTAATCTTCATGTCCTAGTTCCACTATCAGAGAAACAAAATTCAGTTTCACTCTGATTTTTCACCCATTACAAAGCCTGTGTTAAAGCTTCTTGTTTCAAACTGACACTTTTTGAAAGATGTATCTTTAAATTAGCAACCACTTCTACCACTCTCACTTTAAAATTCACAACACGTTTAAGCCTTGTTTCTTGTTTCTTGTAAGATTTCACAGAATCAAAATATTTTGGGTTGGAAGGGACTCATCTAGTCTCAAATCCCTGTCATGGGCAGGAACATCAGGTTGCTGAGAGCCCCATCCAACCTGGCCTTGCACAGCCTTCCTACGGAAATCACATTACTCACTCTGTCTACTTCACTGTCCTCCCTCCCTTGCCGAGCAGTTTCAACTGAAACTGAGACAGAAATAG